AAGTAGTAACCATAAATATAATAATAAGTTTCAATAGTTTTAATATTATTGCCTACTCATCACTACTATCATTCTCCTCAACATATGTTTCTATGTTTTTTTCTTTTGATGTCTCAAAATCTTCCCATTCTCCTCCTTCATCCTCTTCCCCAATCCCTTCCTCAACATCAGCTTCTTCATGTATTTCAATAAACCTCCCATCAGAATATTGCACAGGTTCATAAGCAATGTCATCAATATTTATTTGTTGAGGAATAGGAGGCTCATCATCTTGGAAATATGGTGCCAATCCTTCTTGTTGATCATCTTTATTCTCAGGAGCCTCAACGATACTCCTAGCTTTAATTTTAAGTGCAGCAATCCATCCCCTTCTTTCATGATTAATAGATGGGTATGGTGTGTAATACACTTGCCTTGCCTGACTAGTAAGAATGAAAGGCTCATAAGATCTAAAGTATCTTCTAGGATTAATGTCAACTAATCGATGTTGTTGATCCACTTGAACCCCTTGAGCAGGAGGAATCTCATACCAATCACATTTGAATAAAATAACTGCCTGTCGATGGATTGATCCATAATACTCAATCTGTATTATTTCTTGAAGCACACCATAAAAATCATAATCTGATTCAGTACCAATAGATCCGACAACACAGACACCATAATTCATTGTTTGCTTATTTCTACCATAGTGGGCAGTGTGAAATTAGAATCCATTGACAATATATCCATTATAGCAAGAAACATAATTTTTTGAACCACTGGATAAACCTTTGATATGCTCATGGACATTAATGAACTCATCACTAATTACCTAAAATATATAGATTGCAAAAGAAAATGTTAGATGCATTTAAAGAGAAATAACATATATATGTTAAGGAATTGAATATTCATATTATTAAATACTCACAGCTTGTTCAAACCAGAGCACAAGGTCTTTCTCTCGTTTTGCTTGAATTTGTTGAGAATTCATATTTTGACATTGTTCACTCTCAAATAAACTAGAAAATTTGATAATAATTTTTTATATATTGTTAGTATTTTAATTCAATAAATCTTAACATAACAAATTGAAGATGTTAAAGATATTAGTGTAGGTTTTTTACCTGACCCATCCTCGTAATTCTTCGCAATTCATTAACACATAATACGAAGCAGCTTTGCGTTCCTCTACCGTCAAGCAACGTCTT